GCAATGGCATAGTCTCAGCACACTGCAACCTCCGCCTTCTGGGTTCAAGCAATTCTTCTGCCTCAGCCTCCTGAGTAGCTGGGATTACAGGCACCCGCTACCACACCCAGCTAACTTTTGTATTTTTAGTAGAGAGGGGGTTTCACAATGTTGGCCAGGCTGGTCTCAAACTCCTGACCTCAGATGATCTACTCGCCTCAGTCTCCCAAAGTGTTGGGATTACAGGCGTGAGCCACTACGCCCAGCCTGTAATTCGTATTTTTAAACAAAGGTTTTGATCTTCCTTCATGATGACACATTTCAAAAAGTAGTTCTCAAAACTGGATGTAAAGTGACCTTATAGCTAGTTCATGGAATTTAAGGTTTTGGGAAACAGTAGTGCATTCACATTGTTACCAGTAGGGAGTCTTGACTATGAGTTGTTCATGTTCTTGGCATGTTGAACAAGGAAATGGACAAAACCCACAAAACAACAGAAGACAAAAGCATAGATTTATTGAAATGAAAGTACACTCCACAGAGTGGGAGTGAGCTGGAGCAAGCAGCTCAAGAGCCCTGGTTGCAAATCTTCTGGGGTTTAAGTACCCTTTAGAGGTTTCCTGTTGGTTACACCCTATGTAAATGAAGACTTGGCCCGTGACCAATCAGAGGCTGAAGTAAAGTTACATATGGAAATGAAGACTTGGCCCATGACCAATTGGAGGCTGAACTGAAGTCTCAGCCTGCAACCAATCAGAGGCTGAAGTGAAGTTACAACCTATACAAATAGAAGCTTGGCTTGTCTGACTGAAGTGAAGACTCCTTGTGTCCAGACCCTTCCTGTGTTTCTTTCTTCTCCTCTGTTGTATCTGCTTGTCTTTTTTTCTTGGAATTTATATCCTAAACTATTCAAATAAACTGTTCTTCTGCCTCATCTCGCCCTGAGAGACGTGATCCTCATAAATCTTTATGGGAGGCAGAAGGACCAATTGTCTTTCTTCTGTAACTACTTCATGCTGATTGGGGCACAGTTCCTACCTATTGGGGACCATGGAACTCTAGCACTGCTCTGTCTAGTGGAGATAGGGTTACTTCTTGATGGCCGGGGTGGGCGTCATCATCTGGAACTGGCTGGAAGCCCTGCTGCATGATCATTTGAAGCTTAATCATCTCTAGGTGAGAAGAAATAATCTGGTAAAAAGATTTAACAAACATGGTCCAAAAAGTCAATGCAAGTATAATTATTAACAATGGGCTGGCTAAGGGAAGGAGCCATGAAGCCCAGCTTAGTGCCCTTGACCAGGAGTCCTATGATGTGGACAGCTGTTGTTATATTTTAGAAGTCCTGTCAGCTAATTTTCGAGTGGCATCCCTAATTAATCCTGATTGGTTGATATAAAAACAACATTCTTGTAGGAAAAGACATAAGCCACCTTTTTGAGCAGTTGGAGATCCAGTCCCCTTCTATTTTGTAAAGTGACTGCTGCCAAGGAATCTATTTGATTTTGTAAGGTGACGATACTTTGGGCAATGTCTTCCAAGGTGTCTGAAAGATCCTTGGATGAGCATTGGTAATAGGATAGGGAAGTTGGAAACCCGCTAACTCCCATTGCTATTCCTGCAGTTATTCCTAGCCCTACCAAAAGGGGTATGAATTGGATGGCTCATTTGTGCTTGGCAGTTGCAGTTAAAGGTATAATGAGAGACTGGTTATTGGGAGCTATGTTGATTTTGAGGGGGTAAATATACAAGGGTACAGGTTCCAGTCCAGTTGGCTGATAAACATAAGTACAACTAGTTCCACACAGGAAAAAAGATCTTTGTTTTTGAGACAAAAATTGTTGTCTATGGTGAACATATGGGTTAGCTTGTTGTTTTCACTTTCTCAAGTGATTAAGGTCCCTGCTAAGGTGGCCCCGGTTAAAGGCTGGAAAGGACCTTGGGAAGTATCCTGAGTTGCCCCAGCAGAAATTTTCCAGTGGAGGTAGTTACACTTAGTGTCCACCAGCAATGACTTAGAGGTATTTTCGTACTGGGGAATGAAAAGACAACTAGATGTCTCAGGATTAGTATAGTTTTTTCCAAGGGAAAGTGTGAACACAGCTACTGGGCCTATCTTGGCAGTACTTAGACTGTGTATCCTTTAAAGTGCCCTGAACTAGGAATGGTTTCCGTGAAACCATACAGGTTTACCAAATGATGCAGTCTGGGTAACTGCATAGCTTACATGATCATGTGAAGGGTTAATCTCTAGGGTGTAGATTTGAAGCCAATTAGAGCTCTCACACACACAGGAGAAGATCTAGCTGTTGTAAGTTTTTCTTTCCCTTTAGTTTTTTTT